TTGACTAACTCGGTCTATTGGGTAATGAGGGTCTAGAGGCGGTTTATGAAGAGGTTGATTGGGTTACCTTAGAGCATCTGCCGGTGCCTACACGTAGCCGGGGGAAGGTGGCAAGCCAGGTTGAATCAGTAAGAAGGGTTCCTTTCAGCTTGCATTGTCTTCCATCCGGGAGGACCCCGGTGCCGTGAAACGTGAGCTGGCCGCCTGGTTAGGAAATCAGGCCTGGGCTCTTGACCAGACAGTTGGCCTCATAGAAGTTTTTACCTCCAAAGCTCCCCTGTCTAGTGCCTCCGAAAAACTTAGGGGTTTAGCGAGCATTAGGTTAGGGACAACTTCTGGTCAGGACTTTTCGCGTGCAAGGGACAGACGTCTCTTGCTTCTTCTCATCGGGATGTGTCGGCCGAAGGATGTCTGGTTTGCATGGCCTTGTGCGTGTTGGTCTGCGTGGTCCCGTATGAATCTTGCAAAAGGGGGTCGATGCGCTCAGAATGTCCTAGACAAGAGACAATCTGCCAGGCCTTTCTTAAGACTCTTTGAGCAGTGTTGGGCGTTGCAAACCATGCAGGGTGGACACATCCATGCTGAGAACCCTACCGGGTCCCAAGCCTGGAAGGAAATCGTCCTGGGCCCAGCTTTCGAGGTTGACTTTCACATGTGTTCGGTAGGCCTTACCTGTCCTCAAAGTAAACTTCCTATTCTCAAGCCTACCCGTGTTGTGTCAAGTGACCCAGGGCTTGTCGCTTACATCACTCCCATGCACACCTTGAAGGAGGTTCCCGCGCCCGTGCGGCTGAAGTTTATCCCACTAAGTTGTGCCAGCGTGTTGCACGGTATTTTGCTTCTAGAGATGATGATGTTGATCCATCATATGATGTTTTTCTGAATACCGATGATGAAGCCGATGCAGACTCAGAAGGGGAAGAAGAACCTCCTGATGCCGAGCCCGGCAACGAGGAGGAAGGGGACCGTCGTGTGTCCTATGCGGCAATGATCAATAAACTGCATGTTAACACGGGACACGCGTCTGTGCCCCAAATGTTGCGTCTGGCGCAGCGTGCACGCGCCCCTGCAGCTGTGATCACCGCCATCAAGTCCTTCAAGTGTCCTATTTGCGAGGAGTTACAGGTTCCACCTTCCCATAAAGTGGCCGCTCTGAGGCATACTGAAACCCCGAATCATATAGTGGGCCTCGACGTAGTTCAGGTTGAACTTAAGAAGGAGGGTCCAAATGGGATGCAGGAACAAAAGTTCAACGTGCTCACAGCTGTGGATTATGCGTCGGACTTTGCCCAGCAGATTCTCATACCTGCCGGCCCATGTAGCGTCAGCAAGGCTTTTCATGATATGTGGTGCCGTCCTTATGGACCTCCTAGGGTGGTGTATGTGGATCCAGATCAGCGTTGGATGTCTGGGGATTTTCAGAAGTACCTCCGTCAGAACTCCATCACCTTGTTGGACAGTGCATCTGAGTCACACTGGCAGCTGGGCAGGGTTGAGATTGCTCAGAAGATTTTGAGACGCATGGCCCAGCGCGTCTGGAGGACCGCAGAAAGGCCACCATATGAAGTCATCGAATCTTGTGCGAGTGTCCGGAATGAACAGCTTAAGAGGCATGGTTTCTCTTCGGCCCAGTGGTTTCTAGGCAGAGAGCCCCGTGTTCCTGGCAGTTTGGCCGATGTCACCGAACAGAACAATGTTGCGGTTCAAGATGCTGTTCGTTCCGAACAAGACTTTTCTCAAAAGATGCAAGTTCGGTTGAGTGCCGCGGAGGCTTTCATGGAAGCCCATGCCCACACGACTTGGACACGTGCCATCCGTGGGCGATCTCGTCCACTTAGGGGTCCGTATACGGTAGGTCAAAACGTAGCTCCTTTCAACAAGGCATGGCACGTGGCTTGGCCCAGGGCGAGTCGTGGGTACTGAAAGTTTTCGTCCTGATAGTCCTGTTCCGAGGGTGATCTGGGTTGTGGTTAACGGGTTTATGTATAAGTGTTCACCCAAGTGCCTCCGTCCGGTGCCTGAGGATGAAGTGGCATTCCGCCATCTTGCGCGCGAATATTGCTCGGGCCACCTTGCAGATGACCTTGAACAGATGACGCCGGCACGTGGCGGTCCAGCAGGTAGGTTCTTTGATTTAACGGGTTCCCCACCTCAAGAAGAAGACTTTCAATCAGCAGGGGATGACAGTGAACCGGAAGACCGGCATGTGCGGCGCAGCCATCTGTCCGTCACAGAGAGGGCGACGTAGATGAATCTCCATCACCTAAGAACAGGCGTGTAGCCGAGATGGCTGGATACTCACCTTCCATTGCGCCTGACGAGCTTGCTGGCTCAGCTGGACCGGTTCCCCTCGCCCCACTGAGTGAAGGGCCAAGCAACGACCCTGGCGACTCTCATGGCCCTGAAGTAGATATGCCACCCTCAGAAGATGCCATGTGTTGTGAGATCTCCCTTGATGTTTTCTTGTCAGACATCCGGGATGATGCATCCTTGTGGCAGGTCCTTGAAGAGTGTGCCATGGTGACACCGAAACCGGGTCAGTAACGTAGAGTTGAAGTTGTTTTTCGAAAACTTGGCACGGATGACCAACAGCGTTTCCGCCAGGCCATGTGGAAGGAATGGCAAAGTTGGCTGGAGAACAAGGTCACCGCAATTGTGAAAGGTAGAGGGGTACCTAGAGCCCGCGTCATAGGCTCTCGCTGGGTGCTCACATGGAAGAAGTCATCCGACCCCGATGGCCGTTCAGTTACCCCAAAAGCTAGACTGGTGTTAGTTGGCTTTCAAGATCCGGATTTGGGTCGGATAGCCACTGACAGTCCCACCTTGCGTAAGGAGAGCAAGCATGTGATCTTGAGCATTTGCGCTAGCAAGGGGTGGGTGATTTGGGGAGCCGATATCAAGACGGCATTCCTTTCAGGTGATGCTTCCAACCGCGACCTTTTCTTTAAGCCGCCAAAAGAGGTTCAGGAGATCATGGGCCTTGAGCCCGATGATGTTCTCCAGCTCGAGAAGGCAGCGTACGGCTTGGCCGAAGCGCCCCGAGCATGGTTTCTGCGGCTATCCCGAGAGCTTGCAGCAGTTGGGCTGACTGTCAGTCAGCTAGACCCATGCGTTTTCATTCTACGCTGTGAGCATTCTTGTGAACTCCTTGGTGTATGCGGAGTCCATGTGGACGATCTTCTAGGTGGGGGTACTAAGGCCATGGATAAATGTCTTGAAAAATTGCGCCAAAAACTTTTTTTGGAGATTTTCGCGCTAAGACTATCAAGTACACCGGTGCCGAAATTAGATTAGACAGAACCCCGATTTCAGTATCGAAGTAAGGCAGGAAGCCTACATCGATAAGCTTGAAGAGGTATGTAGCAAGCCTTTCGGAACAGCCTCGGAAACCCTTCCTGAACCGTCGCTGATGCGTGCATGCTGTGGCCAGCTGGCGTGGGTCGCTAATCACAGTAGGCCGGATCAAGCCTTTCTTGCTTCATATTTGCAGGGCATCCAGGATCGAGCGACTGTCAGTCATTTGTCTCTCTATAACAAAGCAGTCCGGGAGATGAAACAGAGAAAACTTTGTCTCAAATTTCCTTGTGTTCCCATTGAGTCATGGCGAATTCTGGCAGTGACTGATGCTGGATGGGGGGTCCGAGAGAGCGGTGAGTCCCAAGGCGGGCTCCTACTTTGCCTCTGCGAGAAGCAGGTCTTGGACCGAGAGCCGGGTATAACTTGGATTATAGAGTGGTCCTCCAAGAAGCTTAGGCGGGTTGTGAGAAGTTCCACTGCAGCCGAGACCATGGCTGCCCAGAACGGGTTAGATGCTATAGAGTTTGCGCAGGCATTCCTCCAAGAAGTGCTTCATGGCATGTCACCCCGAGAATTTAGGAAGTGGTCACCTGAAGCAGCAGCTGGACTCGTCATTGACAGCAAGTCGCTGTGTGACGCCCTCACGCGTTCGGCTTGCAGCAGTGCACTGGCCATTGAAAAACGGCTTGCTATCGATTATGCCATTGCTCGTGCCTGCCTTTCCGATCAGCATGTTGTTCCCTTCTGGACCAATAACTTGCAGATGATCCCGGATTGCTTAACTAAGCTAAAAGGGAATAAGGATATCCTTTACAAGGTCATGGACAAATGTATTTTCCACGCAAGGCCCTGTAAGGAATCCGGCAGGAAGGAGACCAAGGCTAATCTCATCTCCAAGGCCCAGTGATGCATGCAGGCTCCAAAGGAACCCCACCATGTGGATGTCTTTTTTTTTAAGCCCTTCAGGGTTGTAGGCTAGAGGGCGGTTATTGCCTAATAGGGTTTAGGCCCCCACCTCTGCTTATAGGACGAGGGATAATTCGTTTGTAGTTGTTTTGTTGTAGGGCCCGAATAACGAGTCCTCCCCGATAATTCCCCGTGTGAAACCACACCCGTGTTCATGTGCTGGCCGAAGGTAGTTAGCCTGAACACCTTGTGCCTTTTGTGATTGATCGCCGATACAGCCTCAGCCTGTGCGCCTGGTTTTTTTCTGGACCCAGTAACCCGTGACTCTCCCCGTGTCATCTCCTCTCCCTTGCAAGCATGGCAGCCCGCAATGCGAGGCAGGCTAGGAGCCAGCTGGAGCCGCTGACACCAGCCGAGATGGTGACCTTTGAGGCCGGGAGTTCATCAACCGTGCCAAGGCCAATGGACAGCTGGGTGCGCTGTTGTCCCAGAGCCAGGTTCATGCGATGATCCCTTCACCGACTTCTTCGGACACGGACTTCACCATGGTCACGGATGGTTATGGAGCGGGCACTTCCCCGCAAGGGCCGCCACCACCTTCTGGCAGCCGCCGCACCCCAACTAGCGTTGGAGTTCCCTTCACCACAACAAAGGGACACAAGGGGCAGCCTTCCGACTCCGGCGCCAAAGGGGCCGCCTCCTCCTCCTCCTCCTACATCGTCAAGCTCCTGGTCGACTTCCGCCGGAATGAGAGGGCCTCCGATGCAGTTGGATCGCCAGCTACGACACCTTCGTGATGCCGACCATGACCATGACTACAAGTTGCCGCCCGGCGTCCCGGACCTGAATACCTGGTCAAAGACCCTCTTTGTCTTGCCGAAGTTTCGAGATCTCCAGCTGTCGTACAAGGGCATCCTGGCTAAGGCATGGGACGATTCGAACATGCTTTCCTACATCAGCTGGATCCGCAACACCTATGCCAATGACGCGAAGGATCCTAAGGCTGGGAAGGCCACGGACTTTGTAGCGTTTCTGATTGCAATTGATTTTCCAGCAGCAGCGCGCAAGAGTGTGCTGGAGGGCCGCAATCGCACCTTTGTAGAGGAGGACTGATTTCGCCATGTCAATGGCCCGTAGCTTGGTGATTGCTTTTTCCATGCTGTATGGAGACAGCGCCTCAATGACCTTCACATTGAGGGCGTGTAAAACAGAGCTGAGGTCTGAAGCCTGTTAGGATTCAGCAGCTGCGTGTGAACGAATGCTCGGCATTTCGCCGCTGTATGGGTACAAGCACGGGCCCTTGGTGTTTTCCAATTCGAAGCGGTTAACCTCATGGCTATCGGAGGCGATCCCTGAACAGAGATCGACTGCTTCTTGTGCGCTGGCTTTGCAAGCAGCGATTGGTGTGAACTTCCTACGTTCAGTTCTTCAATAATATCGATTTTGCAAAAGGGCCGCTTCAAGTTTGAGTGCGGGCGCCAACTGCGCAACCAAAGCCCCAGCCGCGCCAGGCGC